GACGGCGCTGCCGACGACCAATCACAGGCTGGCGAGGGCGGGACGGCGCTGCCGAAGACCAATCACAGGCTGGCGAGGGCGGGACGGCGCTGCCGATGACCAATGAGAGCCTGGTGAGGGCGGGACAGCGCTGCCGATTACCAACGAGAGGAAAGTGCAGAGCGCTTTCCAGAAGGGACAAAGGTGTCACTTACCCCTCTGCAAGGATCTGGGCGCAGCAGTGCAGCACATGAGGGGGGGCCAAAAGGCGAACAGCATCTGGTGGGGACTGGGCACATGGGCAGGGCATGAAGATAGATACCTTCGTGTCCAGGAACGCCCACACCCTTACCAGGAATAGGACACACTCACTGCAGAACCTTGGATAACCCAAAATGCCTGCTACTTCTGGTGGTGGAGTCCCCAATCCTACAAAGAAAGAAGAAAGCCTCACACGCCGTCCTCAACAAAGTGGGTTAGAAAAGAAAGGTGGGCATTGGACAAACCCCAAGACGAGGACAGCACTCAGCAGAAGCCGGTTTAGGAGATACCTCTGTTTTTGGCACCTCACTTGGTCACAAGTGTGCCCGGGGCTCATGGGAACTCCAGCGAGGCACCGCCAGGCAACATGGAAAAAAGAGAAGAGAAACAGAACACAAGTGTAGCAAATACTACAGGAGCCAAAATGAATTCAACCTGCCATTTATTGAGAGCAAAAAGAAAAAAAAAGGAGAGAGAATGAAAGTGTAGCAAATGCTATGGAAACCAAAAGAAATCAAACCTACCTTTTATTAAGAGCAGCAGGTGGCACTGACACCCCATCAGCACTGGGCAGAGCCGGGCATGGGGAGAGGAAGAACACCCGGTGAAAGCAACGGGAGCACGAGGGACAACCGACACCAAGCCCCAAAGGACCTGAGCGAGCGTGTGAAACAGGAGACATCAGGGATCCAGGGGACCGGGCACATCCAGGAACGCCCACACCTTTACCAGGAACGGGACACGTTCACTGCAGAAGCTTGGGCTGCCCAAAATGCCTGCTGCGTCTGGTGGAGGAGTTGCCAACTCTAGAAAGAAAGAAGAAAGCTTTACACGCGGTGCTCAACAGCATGGCTTATCAACAATAGCTGGTCATTGTACAAACCCCGAGTCAAGGACAGCACTCAGCAGAAGCCTCTTTAGGAGCCTACCCCTTCTGTTGCATCTCACTTGGTCAAAAGCGTGCACTTGGCGTCCTGGGAACTCCAGCGAGGCACCAACAGGCAACATGGAAAAACGAGAAGAGAGACAGAATAAAAGTGTAGCAAATGCTATGGAAGCCAAAAGGAATCGAACCTACCTTTTATTGAGAGAAGCAGGTGGCACTGACATCCCATCAGCACTGGGCAGAGCCGGGCATGCGGACAGTATGAACTGACGAGGGCGGGACAGTGCTGCTGGTGACCAATGAGAGGCGCATGGGGCGGGACTGCGCTGCCGATGACCAATGAGACGCTGGAGGTGCGGGACGGCGCTGCCGTTCACCAATGAGACGCTGAAGGGCCGGGACGCTCTGCCGATGACCAATCACAGGCTGGCGAGGGCGGGACGACGCAGCCGATGACCAATGAGAGGCACATGAGGGCGGGACGGCGCTGCCGATGACCAATCACAGTGTGACAAGGGCGGGACTGCGCAGCTGATGACCAATCACAGGCTGGCGAGGGCGGGACGGCGCAGCCAATGACCAATGGGAGGCTGGTGGGAGCGGGATGGCACTGCCGATGACCAATGAGAGGCTGATGAGGGCTGGACGGTGCTGCCGATGACCAATCATAGGCTTGCGAGGGCGGGACAGCGCTGCCGATGACCAATGAGAGGCTGGCGGGGAAGGACGGCGCTACCAATGACCAAAGAGAGGCTGGCGGGGGCAGGACAGCGCTGCCGATGACCAATGAGACACTGGTGGGGCCGGACGACGCTGCCGATGACCAATCACAGGCTGGCGAGGGCGGGACGGCACTGCCGATGACCAATCACAGGCTGACAAGGGCGGGACGGCGCTTCCGGTGACCAATGAGAGCCTGGCGAGAGAGGGACGGTGTGCTGATGACCAACGAGAGGAAAGTGGAGAGCGCTTTCCAGAAGGGACAGAGGTGTCACTTACCCCTCTGCAAGGATCAGGGCGCAGCAGTGCAGCAAATCAGGGGGGCCAGAAGGCGAACAGCATCTGGTGGGGGACTGGGCACATGGGCAAGGCATGAAGATAGATACCTTCGTGTCCAGGAACACCCACACCTTTACCAGGAACAGGACACGCTCACTGCGGAACCTGCGGAAAAGGGGCTGGGGGAAGGTGAAGAGAAAAGGCGGGGAAAAGGCGGGGGAGAGAGATGGGGAGACAGAGTGGGGAGAAAGAGGGGAGAAACGGGGATGTGAAGGGGAAGGGGATAAAGCGGAATGAGGACGGAGAGGAAATGGGGATGGAAAAGGGAAAGATAGAGGAGATTGGGCTTTACCAACATCCCGTAGCTGCGCATCCATGATCTGCTTCCTGTCATTCCTGGGAACATACCAATTTCCTTGGCAGTTGGTAGCTCAGGGGTTTTGCAGAAGACATCTTTCCTGACAGCCCTTAAGGCAGTCAAACCAGCAGTTATCTGCTGCCAATGCAGCAACTCAGGGGAGCCCCGAAGGCCAACAGTATCAGGTGAGGGACTGGGCAGATCGGAAACGCATGAAGATATCTTCACGTCCAGGAATGTCCACACCTTTACCAGGAACAGGACACGTTCACTGCGGAAGCTTGGGCAGCCCAAGATGCCTGCTGCATCTGCTGCAGGAGTCACCAATCCTAGAAAGAAAGAAAGAAGAAAGCTTCACTCACAGTACTGAACAACGTAGCTTAGCAACGAAGGGTGGGAATTGTACAAACCTCAAGTCAAGGACAGCACTCAGCAGCAGTCTGTTCAGGAGCCTACCTCTTCTTCTGCATCAAGACGTGGCCCTGCTGGTGGCTTCTCTAGGGGCAGTCACTCACGGTCTGTGCCACCAGCAGACAAATGGAGCTGCCTGCATGCTGGGCAGAGATTCCGGCATCGTGGTTCTATGACCTTATCAGCCAAAGGAGGCTTTTCACATTGCCACAGTTTGTACTCTGCCTTTTTATTATTATTATTATTATTATTATGTTATTTGTTGGTTGGTTTTCTTTCCTGCTCCTTTCTTTGCATGATCTTGTTCCTTGCTAGAAGCATTCTTTCACATTTCAGAGCATGTTTCTTGGCTGTGCTTTGCATCCAATCTCTGCACCACAACTCTATGTCAGACTTTATTTTGGGATGGAGGAATGTACATAGGTCATAGTCTTGTACAAGAAAAGCTATTGCGCTGTGCCCAGGAGGTGATGAAAAAGAGCCCTGAGGAGCCAGGAGCACAAAGGCAGCGTGTTTGTGCGAAGGCCGCAGCGTAAGCACATGTGAACCTTGAAGGGCTGCTTTGTGCCTCTCCAGGAACTGCTTTTGGGTGGGGGATTTTCTGGAGTTGTTTCCAGTTGTTGCTCGGAGGAGCTGAGGCTTTTCTCCTTGTATCTTTGCAGGAAAGCAGAGCGCAGGGAGCGTCTGTGGTGAGATGCTCAGGTGAAATTGCCTTCCCTGCACCAGCAGCCCGTTTGTGTCCACGTTGTGTCTCCGTGGTGAGGAGAAGCCTGCAGTTCTGTGAGTAAGCCTGGCAAATGGAAAAATGGTTGTGGCCTTTTTGGCAAGTGTGTGAGGAGGGGCCTCTGGACAGGCTGCTCTTTGGTTGGTTTGGTTTTTCAGGAAAATGCCATTTCAGTTGTTATTTGCAATGGTTGGTTGGTGCTTGTTTGAAAAATATTTGTCGTCTAGACAAGCAGTGCTCTCGCACCAGAGAAGTGAGAAATCTCCTGTGCATTCAGTCTTCTCCACGAGCCTTCCATTGCCTTTCCACAATGCCTGTAGAAGTGATGTGGGGATAAATGGGGAAGAGGTGAGGTGCAGTTTCTGTGCATGCTCTGTGCACGGAGCAGGCGTCGCCTGCTGAGAGCTGGGAGCCCTGCAGAGCATCGTGGATTTGCTTTCCTTCCTTGTTGGAGCGCGGTGCTTTTGTAGGTGCTGTGTGCATTTGAAGTAACTGTGAACTGTGCTGAGACACCAGGTGTCCTAGAGAGAGCCCCAAGGTCCTGAGTTTAGTGAGGGCCTTTTTCTCCATCTCTCAGTTGTTTTTTCTTCTTCTTTTCTCCCTGTTAGTGTGACATACCTGGCCCGTCAGATAATTCAGCAGGGAGTGGTGCCTTCTTGCGAAGCTGTGGCAGGTGGGTGCGTGCACTTCACTGCTGGTATGACCAAGCTGAAGACGCCTGAGCTGTGTTAGAGCTTTGAGAGTTGGATGGAGAGTTCTTGACCAAGGAAGAGCTCTTTGGTCCCAGCCCCCTGGGGAGAGGTTAGGATTGCTGAAGGAAGAGAGGATTCTTTGAGTGATGTGAGGGGTGTAGGAAGGGAGCTGACAGGTTTAGGGTTCCTTTGCTGAGCTCTGCCCAGGCTGTGACAGTGCTGGGGTTCGATTTTGAGTCACTCTGAAGACAAAATGAGACAAAGGGGTTTTTGTGCAGCCTGAAACCCTGCAACTCTGCTGTAGGGGCTGCAGCCCAGGGTAGGTGCCCTGTCTCCACAACTGCTGACCACACTCTTCCCTTCTCCACAGTGACCACGGCCAGCCCCTGAAACCCCAGTCATCAAGACCCCGTACGTCATGTCCAACGCCATTTGTCTGCGCTGCCCATGGCTGTGATGTGTGCCGCTACCTCCTGTCCCCTCCAACTGCCAGGCATGCAAGCTTCCTCCTGCTCCACCAGCTCTCCCACTGGCTCCGACACCTTTGCCACCTCCCGTGTCGTGTGGTGGAAATGCGTGGTGCTGGGGCAGGCCCAAACTCCCACCCTGACAGCAGGCACATTTCCAAAAGCTCTGCTCACTTCCTCATCCTGCTGGCTCGTGAGAAGATCCTGTTGTCAGCTCTGCCAACCAGCACAGCAGAGGTGGGATAGTTACGGGCAGCATGGAAAACAGCAGGGGAATAACCGTTTCCCCCTTTGGCTGTTATTTGTTGAGAAATGCTGTCTGGGAAGTGTTGAGTCAGGGCCTGAACCACTGATGGAGCATCTGGGGAAAGGACCCAGTCAGCCCTGGGAGCACAGGTGAGGGCAGTTCAGTTGTATGATGGAATGAGGGGAGCCTGGCTGCACCTCTCCTAGACCTCATTGAAGGGCTGACTCTGCGTGGGCAAGGATCTCTGGTTGGAGATCCCTCCCTTGTGGAGTTTTCCCTGTGAGCCTGGATCTTCAGAGACAGGTGAGCGCTTTCCTTTGTCTTTGTAACACCTTTCTGTTGTGCTAGTCCCTTTGTGGTTACACCTCCTTCCACTGCACTGATCGTTCTGATTGTTACAGATGTCCTCTGCCCCTTCCCACCTGTAAAGCAAACTTGCTTGTACAGCAAGCCACCTGTAGAGGCGATGACAGAGCCTTTATTTGAGATATAGGAGATATAGAACGGGATATCAAAGAAAGAGGAATCGACTCATCCCTCCCAGCAACAGTTTTGAAGAAAGTGGTGAGCTGAGGAATGCAGCCTTCTGTGTTTGAACTACGGTGTGCTGAAAGGTGAGAGGGGGCTGAGGGGTTGGGGGGGAGACCTGTGCAGACTGACTGTACGTGTGCTGCTGGGAGCACTGCTGAGATGGAGAGAGAGGAAGGCTCCCCCGCTCGAGGTACTCGTGTGCTCACGCAGTGGTTCAGGCTGTGACCTGGCAGTTCCACTGCACCACCCGTCCTGCACTGTCCATGTGCCACCTGCAGGTGTTGCCCAGCTTTTGGGGGACTCGCTGTGACCTCCCTGTCTCACCTCTGTCTCACCTAGTCTAACCCTTAGAGCAGCATAGAGTGACCCGTGCTACCTGGGGATAAGTCTTTTTTTCTGCTTTCTATCCCAAGTCCTTTCCTTTCCACGGAAACAGTAGAAGTGTTCCTTCAGAGCTGATTTACCCCTGCTGTGTTTCTTTTCACTTTTTGTGGATGAGCAAGTGCCCCTTTAGGGATGAGCATCTCTTTGCTCCTTCCATTCTACAGCTTATAGCAGGGTGCCCAGGACACCCCACAGTTGTGGGGAGCAGCTGGCACAAGAGAAGTAAGTCCAAAGGCTGCAGCAAAGATTTTGGGTCATTTGCAGTGGCTCAGTGGGAGCTTGCAGAGGCAAAAAGCAGCTGGAGATGTGCTCTGCAGTTCTGTGCTGGTTTGCAGATTCCTCAGGAGTGGTCCTGGGTCACCTGGCTTCCACCAAGAGTGCTCCTCTTCTCTCCACAGATCACATCTCAGGTGCTGTCTGTCTGTCTGTGGTAGGTACCAGAGCAAGGAGGCCTCTCTGTGCCATTGTTGCAGTGATTTCAGTCTGTGGCACCCACATTTGGACACATGGATGCTCCATCTGGATGTTAATTTTCAGGGGGATCAAAGCTTTTTGGAATATGGGCTTCTCTTTCCATATTATATGCATTTTGTGCAGTTGAGTCTTGCAGTATCTTTATAATTCACTCTTCTGCCATAAGGTGGGATGGTGTAATGTCCTGTTCTTCAGACGAACCGAGAGTGCTGCCCAGATGGTGAATGAGACAAGGGATTCACTGCTTCTGACTGATAAGAATCCTGGGCAACAGTTAGTAGGCCAGTATTTTCTGAGATAGAATTTATTATCATGCATTTGGTAATGTTTCTGTTAACACCAGAACACTCTGGGGTGTGTTTTCAAACCAGGGTTTCCCGTCCTGCTAACAAACAGTGGGGTTTGTGCACGTACCTCCATGGGCTCACGTGGAAACAGACGTCAAGCATCAGAAGATTCCTGGGTGCATGTTTAAGGCTTACTGCGTTCTCTAAAGACTGAAATAGAATTTTCCTGATGCTGTAAGTTCTGATCTTATGGAATGTACGTACTGGGAGAAATTGCTCCTGGTGGCTGAAATAAATGCTGGGGTTCTTCAGTGCAGAGCTGTCACGGTTCTGGTCTGCCTGGTGCTACAGCGGAAGAGCCTGGGCTATTCTGGAGAGAACTCTGTTCATTGTACTTAAGCAGGAGAATGTCCCTGCGCTATTATTCAGAAGATAAGCTATTCTAATCAACCTTACCTCAGGACCTTGTTTCTCAAATCCAAGCAAGACAGGACTGTGCATGCGTGTGCATTGCATATAATGCTGGTGTTTGGTTTTCATGAGGTTCACAGATTGGTGCCTGCTTGCTCTGAAGTTGGCTCTTGGAATGCGGTGATTCAGTGCCTCACTGACAGTGTGACAAGTAGGACTTGGTTCCTGCAGGTTTGTTTCCTTGCCTAGCTTTATTTCCACTGCTGGGTAACTGTCTCTGCAAGAGCTGCTTATAAAAGGAATGAAGTGCACATTTTGCTGGAAAATTAGCACTGAGTTTTGCCCATTTCCTTTAAACGGAAAAGTGAACCTATCATGCCTTGTTGTTATCAAGGGATTCGTTTGCTGGAGGCAAGCTGAGGAATGGTGCCTGGGGCCTGTGGGCACAAATAGATCCCAGTTTCCTGTTCATGCAGCAGCCTTTAAATGTTGCATTAGCAATATTAGTAAGGCCAGACGGATCCAGGGATGTCTGTGCTCGAGGCTTGAAGTAAGGCTGGAGAAAAGCAAAACAGTTGACTTAAAACATGTGTGCTTAGAAGCTGGGAAGCAATGAGAAGTGTCTTCCTCTGTCCTCAAGGCAGTTCTGCTGAGTAATAATCACTTGGAAAACTGCAGCAGCGTGGCAGGGGAGCTCAGGGTT